TTTCTATTAGCCGCATTAACGAAATTACAAGTATATTGAATAATAAGCAACGTGATGAGTTTATTACATATTTGAGGTTTGAAATTTATTTTTATATTGGTACTAACTTTAACTTATACATTGCTAACTCTAATCTTGTCCTATAAGCAAATTGATCAGAATTACCATGTCGAGATCATGAGCATTTTGGTGAGCAGAATCATTATAGGAAAAAATCAATCCGAAAGATTTTGGTACTAGAGTACAAAAGGATATTGTAAAATATTTACAAGCAAAAATAAAAAAGGCACAAGAGATTCTATTTTTTTTTAAGTTTTTTTCCTTAATATTTTTATTAAATACAATAATTTATTTATTGATCTCAAATATCTAATGTTTACATAGAATGTGAATATTTAATATTATAAAAAAGTACAATATGCTAAATGGTTTCCATAAGATTTTTAAGATGTTGAAGATAATATTAATTTTACTGAATGCAGATTAATATACTGTTTTTATTATGAAGAAGTTAGATAAAAAAAGATAATTATGAATATGTATTATTACATTTATCTAAGAAAAATATTAACTTAATTTTTATTTTAACAAATTTAATTGATTTCTAGTTTATTTGATTAAGATTCAATTTTTTGTTTTAAAATAATATTTTATAATTTATAATCAAGATTTAATAAAATATTAAAAAAGAAAAATTTGAATATTCTTTGACAAAATAAATATAATAATATTGATTTTCTAATGAATCTAATATTTATTAAATATATTGTAAGAAATCAATTCATTATAATATCTGAAAATTTGTTATATACAATTCTTATCATTTATAAAAAGTGGAAACTAGTTCTATCTTACTCAAGTAAATAATATAACTGACTATTTTCATTTGTAATTATATTACTTAATCTTTCAAAAAAATAAAAATCTATTTTAATATTATTACTTGATAATTTGATCTATTAAAAAAGTAATAAGTTTATAAAATATTTAATAATATAATCTTTAAGCTTTATCTATTAATATCAAATTTTCATAATAAATTCTTTAATAATAATTACTCATATATAAAATCTTTTAAAAAAATAATGATACCTAATTAGTAAAAAGCTACTAATACAAATTAAATTATATTAATAAAACTATAAAAAGTAATAAATAAAAACTATAACAGATTTTGATAAAAATTTAAAAGTATTTTCAAAAAAACACTTGAAAATTTAAAGCCATTATTTGATTTTTAAATATTATCTAATAACAATTAACTTTATAAAGATTTAGATAATCTAATTAATATTATCACTAATCATTTTATCAAAATTCTTAAATTAAAACTATTTAATCTAGATTAAATCTAATCAAATAAATATAACTCCAAAGAAATTATCTACAGTTAATTATTTGAAAGTATTACAATATAATTACAATGTCAAAAATCAATGATATACTATATGATATTCTTAAATAAAAAGCTTTTAGTCTCTTATTTATTTTATACAAAGCTTAAATTAATTTTGATATAATAGTAAGGCAACAAATTCAAATATTATTTAATAAAGTACTTATATCTGCTCAGTTTTCAACTTATTGAAAACAGTCTGCTATTATATTTTTCTTCAAAAAATTATTTGATCTTATGAATTAACAAATAATTATCCCATATTACTTATCAAAACCAGCTACAAAATCTTTATAAAAATTTATAAATACAATAAATAAACCTTCTCAATTATTAATAACAATAATATTTTTTCAATATTTAATATTATATTTTTTATACAAATATGTTATATCTAATATATTAACCTTTATAATTTAGAAATATAATATATGCCTTTTTTTTTATAATATATAATAAATAGTATTCTTGAAATTTTAATTTTAATTTTTTTTAAAAAAATTGTAATTTGTAAAAGATTCAAAACCAATTTTCAAAGAATAATCAGTAAAGATAAGCAATTTGAATATTTAAATATATTTTTTTACTTCATAAATTCACTGTGCCTGTCTTACAAAACTTTTTATAACTTTATCTACAGTAATTTTTTTTTAAGATAATAATAAATAATGGCACCCGTTAATTCTTTATTTCTATCCATCAGTCGTGGTTTTAAATAAAAAAAATTTTTTTTTTTAAATGTAGTATATTTTGTCATTAAATATTAAATTTTATACAAAATATTAATTAGTATTATGTTAAATAAGATTCTTCACTAAGATAACTCTCACAAGCAAGAATACTTTAAATCATGTTTCATAAATCAATCACGGCAGAACTATTGTGTAACATGATATAAAAGGATTTAATCTTGATAAAAAAGTTAATTTTTTTTATGAACCTGACATGTCTAAACGCACAACAGAAGACCTGGAAAACTCGGATATTATAGGTGCAACAAAGGCGCCTTTCGATAGACTCGGAAAAAAAAATGGGTCTCTAAATGAGGAGAAAATGGGGGAATTTGAGGATCCATGGGAAGACGAGTATGAGGAAGAATTGATAGAGAATGCTGAATCCGATATCGAAGACGAAGACGGTAGGTTTTCTTGTGTCGTGGAGAAAATGCATCAGTTTTTTTAAATATTCTTACAATATATATAGCTTGCTACTGTCTTGCAAGAATTAACGTGGCATTTTTTAAAAAAAAAAGTTATGGAGGTTGAAGAAAGTGCAGAACAGATCTATCTTCCTGGTCAAGAGCTAGATAAAGATGAAATTTTAGAGGCGGATCAGTCAGTATATGAGATGTTGCATTCCTTGAACGTTAAATGGCCATGCCTTAGCTTTGATGTCTTGAGAGATAATCTTGGTGAAGAAAGAAAAACGGTTCGGAATTGTTCATATTATCTTATTCTAGCTTTTTACAATGGTTGACGCGTTAATTAAATGGTGTTTGATACTACAGTATCCTGCAGCTGTATATATTGTCGCTGGTACGCAAGCAGACAAACCAAAAAATAACGAATTGATGGTGATGCATATGTCTCAACTTCATAAGACACAAAATGATGATGGTAGTTATTAATGTAAGCTTGTGTTGATTGATTATCAATTGAACGGGGTCTTAGAATTACTTTTCTTAAAAGATGATTCTGGTAAAGACTCGGTTGATTCTGATGATGAGACATTAGATGAGGATCCAATATTAGAAACAAAGAGTTTAAAACACTACGGTGGAGTCAACCGCGTTAGAGTAAGAAAGAAATTGATAGAGTGCCCATGCATTTTAGCAATATTTCGTATTCAGACCCAAATTTAAATTTTTTCTATTATCAAAGGTAATGCCCCAGAAAGATTGTCATATAGCGGCATCTTGGGCTGACACCGGCAAGGTTCTTATATGGGATTTGGAACCAGCAATTAAATCCCTGGAAACATCAAGTTTTCAAATTCCACATAAGGCGCTGAAACCACTTTATACAGTCGAAAGTCATAGTACTGAGGGTTTTGCGATGGATTGGTCAGGAACGGTTGCAGGGAGGTGGGTTATTTACTTAGTTTCTAAATATATGTTATTCGTTTTGAAAAAGAGAACTTATATATGTTTATTGATAGACTTTTAACTGGTGACCTTCACACACATATTTACCTCACAACGAAGTCGCAATCCACATTTATTGCTGACCGAGTTCCCTTCGTCGGTCACACATCCTCTGTTGAAGATTTGCAATGGTCACCGTCTGAAAAAGACGTGTTTGCCAGCGCGTCAGCCGATCAGACGATACGTATATGGGATACAAGGAACAAAAAAAAGGATTCCTTGTGTGTTAAAGCCCACAATAGCGATGTGAATGTTATATCTTGGAACAGGTTTGTACAATGCTTTTATGGAAATAAAATACATGATAAAATGTTTAACTTATTTTATTTACCAGAAAAGTAAATTATTTGCTCGCGTCTGGTTCAGATGACGGGGTTATGAGCATTTGGGATTTGCGTACTTTTTTGAAGTATGTATACACGGTTTATTCAATTGTGAATATCGAATAATTATTTATTAAATATTTATTTCATTCCAGTAATCAAACGACACCTACACCTGTCGCAACTTTCAAATGGCATTCTGCACCAATCACCTCTATCGAATGGCATCCTATGGAAGAATCGGTTTTGGGCGCCTCAGGTTCAGACGATCAAATATCCATATGGGATCTTGCAGTCGAACATGATCCTGAAGAAGGATCTCATAAAATTATTGGGAAAGGTGGTGTCGAAGTGCCTCCACAACTTATGTTTGTTCATCAGGTAAGCATTATATTAAGGTTTCTGAAAATTTTTTGTTTTTACTTAATTCAATTTTATATTAGGGTCAAAATGACATAAAGGAGATACACTGGCATCCTCAAATACCTGGCTGTATGATAAGTACAGCAATCACAGGATTTAATATATTTAAAACTGTTTCAATATAGAAATTTAAAATTTTTTGAATTGTATATATAAAGTATTAATGAACCAATTTACTTTTATAAAACTTTTCATAGAATAAATATATTTTTTATTTGCGAGTTTCAATGATAAGAATTTTCCGTTTCATCTGTTGATGGCATTCAGAAAAAATAAGATGATTATCAGTTATACTTACACGAAAAGTGTGTCAAGGAATAAAAAAATCAACAGTTAATTAAATTAAATGGTCATTGTCCTGAGGGCAACTGATTTATCTTTTACAAAAAGAAAAAGTCTAAAGCCAGTTCATTGAAACGCACTTTCACAACCGAAAAATAAATTGTTTTCTAATTTCAGATATTACATGAATTTTTCGGATTCACTTTAAGGAATTTCAACAGAAAAAGTTTAAAGTAAAAATGAAATATTTTTAAAAATTTAAAAGAAATGAAGGCGTAAGATTATCAGAAATTAGATAAGTAAAAAATTTTTAAAAAATTCATATTTAATACTTTGAAATAAATTAAAATAATAATTAAGTTTTTATATTAATTTTAGAACATATTTAAATTTTTATTAAACTATACTGAATTATTACAAATATAAGAAATAAATTTATATATAAATTTATTTGCTCCATTTACTTATAAACAGCACAAAGCCTTTATGATTTATGGGGTGATAAAATTGCTTACCTATTGATTTTTTAAAGTTATAACTTAAAATTATCTTTATAATATTATATACTATATATTTATTATATAACAATACAAATATATATATACAGTATATAAAAATAAAATAAAAAAATAAATATATTTATTTTATTAATAAAAAAGTTTTTTTTTTAATTTAAGCAAAATCAAAATTATTTATTTATTTTTTTTTTAACATAGGTAAATATCATTTCTTTATTTGATTATATATAATAGAATATAGATTATAAAAAGAAACAATGTCTTTTATATGCAATTTGCAATAAGTTAAATGCTAGCTTGCTTATAATAATTATTTAACTTTTATTAAAAAAAATTTTTTAAACTAATATTTTAATTAAATAATATTGAATAGTTGTGAATATATATATAATAGAATTGAATTCAATCATTTTTCAAAAATCATATTATAATAGAATTACTAAGTAATATATAATAAATAATTGAAATTCGTATTTAATTTGAAATCATATTGTCGATCAAATTTCCTTTTATAGTAATACAACCACATGTATGGTTGTGAATATACATATAATAAAATTGAATTCAATCATTTTTTAAAAACTGTATTATAATAGAATTACTAAATAATATATAATAAATAATTGGAATTTATATTTAATTCAAAATTATATTGTCAATTAAATTTTCTTTTATGATAATATGAATGTAAGTAAGTATAGTTGTAAATATCTACTTAAAGTTTGAAAAAATAATATTATATTAGTTAGAAATAAGATTAAGTATATATTTTGAGTAATTAAAGTTGTTTTGAATAAATATTTTTATAACAAAAGTTAGAATAACAATTGTAATATTATTATAAATTAAGATACAGCTAGTAATACTATAGGAAGAAAGAATTAATTTCTTATATTTTATTATTATTATTATTATTATTATTATTATTATTATTGCTATTATAATTGTTATTATCATTGTTATTATTATTATTATTGTTATTATTGTTATTATTTTTATTATTTTTATTTTTAAAGTTTTTATTCCACTTAATACCTATAAAAAATACAATATTTAATATATTGTATTAAAATTTTCAAATAAGATTATATAATAATATAAAAGCTTTAGTAAATGCTTGAATTTAATTATAAATATCAAATAAAGAAAAGATATTGATTTATTTAAGAAAAATTTTCATGAAGTTGATCTTCTTGTTTACTTTTCCAATTCCTATCCATATCAAAAATTACGATTAGCTTACCTCTTCCAAAAGATTGATACAAAATAATTATGCCATATTGGGATTAAAACCCCTAATATAAAAAAGACCTACAGGCCATATCATGACAACAAACTGGTTCCTGGGTCCAG